CCCCCCCCATTTCAAAAAGTTGGAAAGTATGTGTATATATACAATTTGTGATTTGACGCAAATATACCGGTGACAGATCTGCAATTGAAGAAGACAAATGCATGACCAGACCTGATTCGAAGCTGGGACTCTCCAAACTCGAAACAGAAATTCTAGCAATTGTACTACCTGGTCACTGACGATTGACCGGCCAGTCTAGTTCGGCTACATTCCTCACTCCTCTTTCTAAGTCTTCACCCCCAAGGACAACTCTTTTACATTAACCCAGATTGAGGTATCCTCTCAAGGGATGGGAAAACTCTCAAATTTTTGAAAAAGAAAAATGCATGGCCAGACCAGGATTTGAACCCAGGACCCTCTGACCTCTGGACGGACACTCTGCTAATTGAGCTACCTGGTTGCTGTTGATCTACCTAGTCCCGTCCGCTACAAATCTTATGTATGATGCAATTAATTACTATTTCTCCCGGAGTTTTTCTCCTACCAGTTAGCTCCATTCCCACCAGCTACCTTGTTAGCCCTTTAAATGTAGGCCCTATCCACTTATTTGTATCATATTGCCTCCTAAACATGAATCCTCTACCTAATAGCCACATTCCCATTAGCCACCACCTAATATATGAACCCTTGTACCCATTATCCCTCCTATTTTTTAGTCCCTTTAATTACTCATTAATGTTTTTACTGATAAGTTGTTACCCCTCCTCCCCCAAGCATTAACAACCTATACCAATGTGCCCCCTACATGTTTCCCCCACATCCCCACACCCCCTCCACTCGTTAGCCACCTATTTGTGTTCTTTCCCCAACCCGTGCAGGTTCAGGGGAAGAAAAGGCCTGCTGTATCACAGTGCATGATGGTAATAGGCGAGTTATGTGCCCTTCCTACCCTGGCTCCCTAAGTTAGCTCTGTTCACCCCAAAGTATATTCCTAAGATTTCACCGCTTTCCGCGACATTATCATGTTCATTGTATCTTGCCTTGCCTATTTCTTCCCAACGAAATTCCTTCACATTTGTACTTATTTAATTTTTACCCGGAATACTAAAACGTTCCACTTCTGATAAAGCAATTGATTACTTGTTCACACTGTGCTCTGTTTCTAGCCCGAGAAAAACGTTATTTGGCCATTCTGCTTGTAAGATATATTGCGACCTTGACCTTACTTTTCCCCCTCAGATTTGTTTTTGTAGTACTGCTCTAACCTTTTTTTCTATATCTAGTGTACATTTCTTTTACAGGACATTGTGCTGTATTATTTTCTTCATAAAGAGAGAGAAGTTTTCCTTCTAACTGATTAACTTCGTCTTTCCATTTCCGGTTTGCTTGAAAGCTGTAATTTACAAATGTCTCTCTTAACTGTGATAAAATCCCAGGGTTTTTCTTTAAAATTTATATCCCCACACTCTGCTTTACATTTATCAATAAATGAACTTATTTTATAGCATGTCAGCTAACCACTCTTAGTATGATGCAGATCTTATTTCAATGTAAGAAAGTTTATAACCCTATATGACATTCGACGGGCGTATATTGTTCTGTCCCGCGGTACTCTTGTTGTTAAACAGTTATAACTAATACTAGTATCCATATGTTGTAAAGCGCTTTAGAGTAATTTTACAAATTCTATAGGGCGCTATATAAATATTGTATATTATTATTATATATATCATAATTAAATCATCAATGAAATATACAAATGTCGTAAAGTGAACATTTCTTATGGAAATCGGGGAAAAAACTTATCAGTAATTAATTATTAAAGTATGAACATACTATACACTTGTGTAAAATTACCTTTTGATATGACAATGAAAATTAAACAACAGCTTTGACTAAATTCGTTGGCCATGCCGGAATCTAGTAACACAGTCGCTTAAGACCATGCCTTTTTGGTCGTAACTTATTGGTTGATGAACCAAGAGTGAGATTGAAATATGTAATGCCATTTAATGCTATGTTAACGTGACGTCATTATTCTGTCTATTCAGAAAATAAATTATTTATATACTGTACCTATGTAGGCAAGTAATAACCATATACGTCATTGTGAGAAGTTCAAGAAATATGATATAGGGGGTGTATTTCCCCCAGATGTTTATATTGTGTATATTTTCATAAAGGGTTTTCTCCCCAGATGTTTATACGGTATGTATTCTCCCCAGATGTTTATACGGGATGTATTCTCACCAAATGTTTATATGGGGTGTATTCTCTTTAAGTGTTTATATGATATTTCATTCTCCCTCCCCACGTCCCCCACCCCACCCCACCCTCGTGTGTTTACTTGATCATGAGAGGATAGTCATCAATTTGTGTGTAAGAGGGGACATGTATGTAAGATGTTACCCCATTTGTTTGTATATAAGGGGTAGACATTTACACACGTATAGTTATAGGCAATAAAACGTTTCAGCGTGAACGTGTGTACACATTCATGCCTCAGGTGTGATCAACCATTTACGCACAATTGTAAATGTAATCACACCTGTGTTAGTGGTATGGTATACATCACGGAAACGTAATAATTCCGTGTTCGGGAGTAGTAACCTGTTGGTGTTCAGAAGAAAGGCGTGGACTTCAGTTCTGGAGTACGCCAACATACAAGTAGGATGACATTTGCACCATGAATGGATGCTCCAGTGTACAAGAGAACTATGGAGTGCTATCGGATGCCCGGGTGAGGGTTCTACCTATCTATATGTTATACTCCACAGAGACCAAAATGGCTTTAATGGTTAGCCAGCTATATATATATATACGTACATATTGTGTACGACTGGTATCATGTTCATTTTTGCATAAAAAAGGCTTTTAAAGCTTGTTATGTAACCTAATATACATGTATACATTTCTATAAACCACCCAGTCGGTTCATCCTACGGAAGTGCAAATCTGTAATGGCCGCGAAACCCCTGAGTCATGACCAAATTAAAGGTGACGCATTCAAAAAGTCACGTAAACAACGTTGAATGACACTTTAAAAAATATACACGGCATTCAAGTATATTCGTGTCTTAATTGTGGTCCTAGTTATATTTAATTACCAACCCTTTGCACGATCGTATACTATAGAGTATATGAAAGGGAGGGAAGAAACGCAGTCAAGACAGTGACTGGTCAAGGCACTCGAAATCTTGAAAAGTTAAAAAAAAAAAAAAAAAAAAAAAAAAAAAAAAAACCGACATCGACATCGTCGGAATAGTCTAGCCTACCACCAGCGGAATCTCAATATCAACTTGTTTTTCGCGTTTCTTCGGTTCGCAATTTAATAGGTAATCTAATGAGTTATCGAAGGATTTTCTCTTGTCTTACAAATACAAAAAATGTTACAAGAAATTTCCTTTTGGACTTGGCGAGTTACTCGATTTAATGAAGCAACGGGTTGTGATATTGTGACATAACGTTAGCATGACATTAATCTAATTCCGTGATTTAACTAAACGTTGGGCCAGGGACGTTCAATGTACATGGCGTTATATGTCTCTGGTTGGGCTTATGATAATCTGTACATAACGTTAACTAACAACACTTATAGATAAATAATTGTTAATCCTGAATTTGATACCTAGTGAAAAGATACAAGAAATTGTATTTATAGTCGTATATATATGAGAACAGAAACATTAGCTCTGAAGTGCTATTATTAAGACAAAACATAAGAAAAAACATCACAGCAAGGTTACAGAGATATAAAACAACTATTGCTAAGCATGGAAGAATTAATTAAACAAGCAAGCACAAAATATCATGCAAAACTGTTGGGTGACTAAAAGCACATGGCTATATACATTTTATATATATGTATATGCTTATATAGCAAATTGTAAATATTTAACGAATAAGCACTAATATAATACATACAGAGTGTATGGGGCATGAGGATAATTAAAACATAAGATGACAATAAGACCAGGTATTTCTAGAAGTTATACAACAAGCAAGCACTGCATAACGAATAACATAACAAACACATAAATGACCATTTTCATCTCATGTCAGACATTTTGTTATTAAAACATTCTAACAATTCCTATAGAACAACTTCTTTTTATTTCGATATTATGCGTTTCGTTTCTTTTGTGCCGCACTTTCCATTTCGAAAAATGTCTATACTAAAATATCTTCTGCTGCTGAGACCGCAAATGATCCTAGCTGTCAGTGGAACCTTTATCTGTGAAATGATTTCGATGGAATTATCTCAATATGGATTATACGGCATAGACTATTAAATCCATATTACGTCAGTCAAACAATCTGATTACCAACGATATTGACGAGAAAATAGGTAATGTATTTACCCTGTTGTGTACAAGAGTTTAGGCTGGCCTACTGTAGGTAGTAAGCATGATGAATACACAACATTCACTACCACACAGTCGATCAGCTGATCGCATCGTGTAACCTTCGTCTGCTTAATCCACAACCTAACGGTATCTTACCTCGTAGAGATAAAAGTAAACGTTATGGCTGTATGTAGAAAATGTGTCACGGTGGGAGTAGATCTGTTTTGATAATCATTTTCACGGGATATATATGGTGACACGTTAAGTATATAGCCTAGTACTAAAAAGTAGGGCATCAAATTGTTCATATTCATTGACCGTTGTATAAAGAGGTCTGCTTCTAGTATTATTCCATAGATTTTACACTTACTAACATATCGGTGTGTGTATGCACATAGTAGAGTTAAATAGGGTATACGTTTCAGTTATAAACCTTAACTGCATTTTTTAAATTTTATTTAAACTACGTTTTTATAACAAGCAGAAAGCACTTCAATGTATTGAAAGTCCAAACTTAAACAAAGTGAACCTGACTCTGTTATTAGATTCATGTTTTCATTTAAGAAAGATGAATTATTAGTTAAATTAGTATTTAGTTTTATTAAGTAGTCTAGTTAACTTTTTAGTAAATAATCCCATTTATGTTTTTATTTTTCACTGTAAGTTCATCAAAATATATTCTGACTAGGAGCTTGACAAATTCTAGATGTAGAATAGATTTTTGTTTGTTTGTCCACTTACAAATCTCAAATACATACCAAATTAAGTGCATATACCCCCCTACCAGCTCATTTGACAAAGGAAACCAGTCGCTTGTAAGTTGTATACATTGGTGGGGTATGATTTTGGAAGAAAGTTGATCTGTTGGATAAATAATACATGCATGTGCATGTTCTATCATCTAATAATACATGGTATCTTTAAACCAATTCAAAGTGTTGTTACATCACAAACATGGTAGAATTTAAATGAAATACAGTGTATGTATTTAATGGCAGCTTTCAAATACACATTTTTTCAAATAATAATTTTGAAAATTATATTACAATATTGAACGCTGCTTTAAAGCTTTCACAAATTATGAGTGTACTGAAATATTTGGATTTTTTGAAAACTGAGCAACATACATATATTTGACAGATCAGAAAACACAAAGCAGAATGAATTTCTGTGGAAAAGCTTATTTAAATTCCCATCCCAAACCCCTTTCTCTTTTCAGTTTTTTCAATTTGATAAATTGTATGGAGAGAGAAATTCTGTTGCATTGGCTATAGGCCTATGTATGTTTACATATAACAAAGATTGTGTCTATACATACAAATGTACACCTCAAAGATTAATCATGGGGGAACACCTTAGATTAGTTGATTCTTCCCTGCACCCCCACTATTGGCTAGCTGATATATATTTCTCCCTTCATCAAAACTGTACTGCTCCCCCTCCCCCAACAATTACAGTAGCTATAGGTAAGGAGCTGGGTATATGTATTTAATTGGATTGATTAGGATATTAGTGGAGGCAGGCATTGCTGCCTCTATATCCACATCAATATAATTTGAAATACAATTTACTATTTAGTAAACATAAAATAAGCCCATACATAAGACGTTGTATGATCAACTGAAGATCTTTCCAGAATTTGTTCTTTGATTATTCTTTGAGTAATTTATAAGTAATCACTAAGTGTTTCTGTGTATGTAAGCTTTTGTGTGTCTGTGTCTCTGCACAAGATCATATCACATGAACCTTTCCACAGACTGATAAATTGTGTATAAATGATTAAATAACATATAACATACACAGTACCATAGCAAATATGAAGAATTAAAAATTAGCTTACAGTTCTACACCAAGATTTTGCTGGTCATCGGGTCAAAAGTCACTCTTAATCCAATTTTGAAGTGTACACTGCCAAAAACCCCATCACATATATTTGAGATCAATTTTGATGGGGATAAAAATTGGCATATATTTATATAATTTGCCCCCGCCCCCCTCCCTCTCTCTCTCCAACTTGCAGTGTTAGACTCTAATTATATTTGCTTGGTAAGTCCACAGGACTAGTTGAATAGATTATTTACTAGTCCTTTGTCAATGTAACTAGTCACAAATTTCCTGATAAGGAAACATCGCGATCTACAGCACGAAACATTTTATTAGGAAAATTTTGATAATTATCATGCATTTCAAAATTTTGAAAAGGAGTATTCTTATTCTATAATCATATTTTTCACAAGTCCAAAGGACCAGTTAAGTAAGGCGATTCACTAGTACTTGATGAAATCTACTAGTCCAGGACTAGCGGACAGCGGACTAGTGCGAGTGTCGACCCCTGCCAACCCCCCCTCCCTCCCCCGCCCCCCTCGAAAAATAAATGGGGAGGGTAATTTTTTGCTTATGGTGAGGGCTTGGTGTTGGAGAATCAGGCAGCTAATGTTTTTTCTCTTTTGAAATCAACATTATATTGAGGAGGAAGAATCATTCAATCAGTAGGTTCTCCCTAAATCCGGTGTAGTATGGTAATTTGAGGGCTGTGAAATAAGCTGCGGTTCATGTTACCATTATGGTAATACTTATAAGCTGCCCCATTTCATTTTCTTAAAGTTTACGTCAATTTGATGAAAAAATTCTATCAGAAAGTGACAAAAATCAAATTTCTTTACCCAAGACTTAATTTTTTGTGATTTTCATATTCAGGACATCAAACTGTCAGATGTAAACTAAAACAGATTTGGTTAAAAAATGTCAAATGGAAAAAAAAATGCTAAAAATGAAGTGCCCCTGCCCCAGCCTAAATATCTTTACCCCAGACTTAATTTTTGTGATTTTCATATTCAGGACATCAAACTGATGTAAACTAAAACAGATTTGGTTGAAAAAAGTCAAATAGAAAAAAAAATGCTAAAAATGAAGCGCCCCTGCGGCACCCAAAATTTCTTTACCCCAAACTTAATTTTTGTGATTTTCATATTTAGGACATCAAACTGATGTAAACTAAAACAGATTTTTAAACCCTCATTTCACCATTATGGTAAAGTGAAGCGCCCCACCCTAAATTTCTCTACCCCAGACTTATCTGATTTTCAGATAGAATACATCAAACTGAAGTAAACTTAGAGAAAATGAATGGAAAAAAGTTTGTCAAAATAAAAATTGATGGTAGCCTTCATTTCACCATGGGGCGGTCGGTATTGAGGGGAGAAAGAATAGGTAACAGCAAAGAAAAATCAGCTACAGCAAATAGCTAACTCCTTTGAAATTAATGTCCAGGGACTCGAGGAAAGAGGATCAGTCAACCAAGAGTTTCCCAACTTTAAAAAGTCAAGGTAGGAAAGAATCCTGCTAATATTCCACCCACCCTCCACCCACCTTAAAATTATGATATATTTTTAAA